AAATCAGGGCAAAAATATTTTTTGAAATAAAATTAAAATTCATTATAGTAGATGTTTGATTTTTAATATATGATTTATTTTTTGCCTATAATTTGTTAAGATGATATCTTCCAAAAGACTGTGTGTGTAAGGCTCCCAACAGCTCACCAGAACTTAAGTGGCCTGCCATCTGACATAAGTGCCCACCTTTGGACCATAACATTGCAATGAGATGATTACTTGGTTGTGGTTTGAGGTTTAGTGGCACGTCCACAGGTCCAGCTTTGTTCCAGAACACTCCTTTATGATGCCAAAGCTAATCCACAGAGCATGATTTCCTATACCATGTTCTTCACCTTTAGCAGAACTCACTGCTGAACTGTCTGTTGGGCTATTGCCTGTGCCATTATGAAGAAAATAACAATGTTTTATTTACTATGTTCTATATAGGATATGAAACAATAGCAATGTTGAAGGCAAATTATTTTTCTCAAAGTAAAGTTCCATCTATGCTGTTCATTGAAATCAGCATGTTATGATTTGGGCACACTGTATGGTCTACAGTCAAACACCAAATGCAAAAAAAATTGTCAAAGGATATTTCTTTCTGTTTCCATACTATAGGGACTCCCAAAAAGCCCCTTAAATACAGTGCAACAAATCTGAATGCAAATATTTCATGTTTTTGCACAGTAAATATATCTGAACACTTTGTGTATTATTTAAGTAAATATATTACAAGTAATATATTACTGTATGATAATACTTTTATAACCCAGTAATACTTACACGTTGACTTTTACTTAGAGAAGAGAAATGCATCAACTTGCTAGTTAAGTTTATATGACAGAAACATAACATTTGGCCAATTTTTACACCTGTCCTTTGCTTTTATTTTTCTTTTATTACTTAATTTTCAGGCTCTTACCTTTGCCTTATTCTAGTTGAGATTTATCATAGCTTTGGACAGCAGCTCCAGGAAGTGTTTAAAATGAAATGTTTCTAAGAAATCTAACTTTCATAAAATCAAATTTAAGTACAAGAGATACTAATTTAATCTTTTTTTCACCCTCTACAGCAATGGAGTTCCATGAAAACCTGCAAGCTATAGGAGCAAAGGAAGGTTTAAAGGAGAGAAAGCTTCAAAAATCAGTAGAGAGTTTTACCTGGAATATTACAATCTTGAAGGTAATGTCTCTTCACTTGTGCTGACAGTTTTAATTATGGAATACATACTTGGTCTTTTAACCAGTTGCCATTGGTATTTCATTATACGTCATAATGCTCCTCAAGTTCTTTTCTGTTAGAACTGTTATAGATGAAGTTCACATATCTAGAAAGTGTAGCAGGCTGTCAATGTGAATTTAGGGGAAGTAGAGTACATTTTTCCTTTATAATGTCTTTCAGGATTTTTGTTTGATTTGTTTTTTGCCTCTGACATTTTCTCCTGAAAGCCTTTTAATGTTAGCAGGATCTACTGTAGTCTTGCATGTGTGGATGGAAGAATGATTATTGATTTCTATGGAGTGATTAGGGCTCTGAGAAGACTATGCCACTATTCAAATTTGTTCAGTGATTTGAAAGAGAGCAGCAGCATTAAGATTAATGCAGATGTACAGAAAACGGGAAATTGTTGCTCTCTTA